TGATCAGAACCATTACATGGACACAGTCGATTTGGAAGTGTTTATGGTTGGACTTCAGAATAAAGTTGCCTACGTATCCCAAACATGGGAATCAAGCCTGACGTAGTTTCGGGTTAAGGTACACTCGGGTATTTAACCTCTCCTTTTGCGCTCTAACTTTTGCCAAGGCCGCCCTTCTGGGTTTTCAACCTTGCGAGCTATGTTCTTTTTTTCTTTTCAATTCTTTTTTTTTTCATCTTTTCTTTTCATTTTCTTCATTTTTCTTCTTTTCTTTTTTTCGTTCTGTGCATTTTTTTTGTTCTTTTTTTTTTTTTTTGCTCTAACTTTTGCCTGGGTCGCCCTTTCGGGTTTTCGGCCTAGCGAGCCTCTCAAGGGTAAAAAGTGTAACAAGTCCATGTTGAATGGTCATAGGATCTCGAATTCATCTGAATCCAAGAGAATGGCTACTGTTTGCTGATGATGTAGGAGTCCATCCAACCGGGTCTGAATTGCCCCCAGTGTTGTGGATAGGAACTCAATTGTCCTTCAGCAATACTTTCTTCTTTCCTCCCTTCTGGGATTTAGCATTCTTGCCAATCTTCGTTAGCATGAGAAATGTCCCAATTTTTGACTCTTCGAGCACATCTGACATTTTTTGCCCCTAGTTCAAGGGCTGCTTCTCATCCAGCTTTGCAAGCTTTCTTTTGATCATATCTGATCTTCTTGCCCCTAGTTCAAGGGTTGCTTCTAATCTGGCCATGCAAGCCTCACATCATGGTTGATTGTTGAACATTTTGAATCCAAGGTTTAAAAGCAAGGGGTCGAGTCTCGAGGTTGAGAGCGATCCTATGCTGCACAATCTCAAGAGCGATTCCACATAGGTCTTCGCAGGACCACGCAAAATATTTTTTGAAATCTTCTAAGAAAGCGACTAATCGCTCACGCTGAAGACAGTGTAGAACCAATCTAGATCAAGCCAGGATCCTTCTCAGTACTCACATTAATAAGCATGATTTCATTCATTAAGGGCCTAGCATGCCTCTCTTTCTCTCACTTGATCAAATTTTTACAAATCCCGAGGAATTCCTTCCTCTTTGTTTTCAACACATTGTTCAAAAAGTTTTGAAAAACTTAGGTCAATGCAATGATTTCGAGGCACAAAAAAGTAAGTGAAAAGCATTGTCGTTTCATTCAAATTTGCTGGCACAACTGGCTCAAGGCAGAAACAAACACAAAAGCATGAAAATCACTGTTGTTCCATTCAGATCTTCTGGCGTAACTGGCTCCATAGCAGAAACAGACTCAAAAGAAAGGGTGTAAAAGACAAACACAAAACAAGATAGTGATGTCCGAGGTAACACCCCCAAAATCACCCGACTCTAACAAAACAGGACTGACTCGACTCAAAACAACACAACAAAACTGATCCAATACCCAAGTCAGAAAGTATAAAAACTAGCAATTGCACAACGCTCAAAATAGTGCGGGCCATCCATCACATCTGGAGTAAACTGGGTGCCATCCGCAGGTGGTTCATTCCCCTGATCATATCATATTATCCCCTAAGCTCATCGATCCAGTACCGATAGACTTTGTAGAGCTTGGTGCAACGATGACCTCGTTGTCAATCAAATCTTGTACTTCGTGGCAAAGACGAAAGCAATTATCAGTGCCATGACCGGTTTGTTGATGGAAGGCACAGTACTGGGCAGCATCATGACTGGCTGGAAGACGACCAGGGAGAGGTCGAGGTTCAAGGGGTTTGAGATGGCCTTTTTCAACAAGGATTTGAAAAGCTTTGGACAAAGGCATATAGAGGGCATGGAAGACCCTCCGACCTCGGGGTTGGTACTTCAAGGTTTGTGGATTTTTGCTGGATGCACTAGCAAAGGGGTCGGCAGGTGCTGACTTGGTTTGCTGATCTCTTCCCAGTGCAGGATTAGAGCTAAAAGGAACGTTTCTGGTACAACGACCCTTCTTCTGGCCTGCCCCTTGATTCAAACTGCTCTCATTCTGAGTGGCGAAAGTGCCATCCACAATCTGTGCAACAACTACAATCATTTGATGTTTGTTCAGCCCTTCGGCTTTCAAAGCCTCAATAGCCCACTGAAGGTGTTCATGGGGATCAATGCCCGCCCCAACCTTGTTCTTACCACTGGCCTCCACTTTGCCAGGAGATTGGCTTTCTTCCAATGCAACTTGTCCCAAGATTGGGGAGCCTTTTGATGTGAAATCCCTGGTAGGCGATGTGGTTGATGATGGAGCCAAAACTCCATAGGCTAAATCCGCCACTGTTCTCTGAAGATCTTCAATCATCCTCATCAGCTCAGAAGTAGTGGGTTCACGGGTTTGAGATGATTGGGGTCCA